AGAATTGCTTAAGCCCGAGAATTTGAGGTTGCTGTGAGCTGTGACACCACAGCACTCAACCGAGGGCGACATAATAAAACTCTGTCTCAAAAAAAAAAAAAAAAAAGGACTTATTTCAAGACCAGCCTGAGCAATAGTCGGACCCCATCTCTACCTAAAATAAGAAAAATTAGCCAGGCATGGTGGCACATGGTACCAGGAGACTGAGGCAGGAGGACTGCTTGAACCTAGGAGTTTGAGGTTGCAGTGAGCTCTGATGACACTATTGCACTCTAGCTATCTCTAAAAAATAAATAAATAAAAAGCACTTAGGGTGTCAATGAATCAAAATGATAGTGGCAAAGATCAAGGGGAGAAAACCCTGAGAGTTACCCAATAGCACCACTTGTCTTCTAGGTTTAAATCACTTCAAGGCCCAGTGAGTCATAGCCTAATCAGGCTCAGATTATAGCTCAGATCCAGGTCTAAAGCAGGACCAGATGGAAGGGGCTAGCACTACAGGGAGACACTAAAATCCTGGGAACCAAGTCTTACACAAGAGGTCAAAGTCCACATTAATTTAAAAGGGTGACCAGTCCATCCTGTGGCTTAATTCAGTCTCCTCCACTGCCCCCTTTCCTACCAACTTGCCAAAAGGCTAATGGCAAACCAAAGCCAAGTGCAGCCAACCTGCATGGCCCCTGGGACATAAGCAGCAATTAGTTGTGCCAGGATGGCTCCTGACATGAGGGAGGGGAAAGGAACCACTCACCTTAAATCTGTCAACAGCAACTGATGCTTCTGAAAGGGACTTCACTGAGAATGGTGTTACTTTCAAAGCAAAAGTCATGGAATTGAAGACAGTCACCACTGTGAAAGCCTGAAAACAGGAAAAGAAAAGAATCTGAGCCTGATTAGGTCATGCAGATGTCATCAATTTCCTTCCAGGAAAGTTATAGCCTGACAAATGTTACTGTAAGTTGGTTACATTTATTTATTTTGGGTTACAGTTTTTTAAAAGTAGGGTTTTTATGAGACCTTCAATTAAAATTCTCAGTAAATGTGGAATACAGGATGATCCATATTTTCATAGTTAAGCCCAAACTTAGGTTGTCTAAGACAACTCGCGCACCTCTTGTGAATAAGAGCTGGCTCTCTGCTCTTCCTCTTCTCAGCTCAATCACACATATGGAAAAACACATCTAATTCTTGCCAGAACTTCCAATTTATAGCATTTCTAAAATGTTCCCCATCCCTGAGGGCTCCCTGACCTGTGCTGCTGTCAGATCGAAGCCCAGGGTCATGTGAACAGAGAATGTCACCACACTGGCAATCACCACCACGATGGGAGCCACCCCAACAGTGATGCTCTGAAAGTATCCAGCTTTTTCCAATATCCGACGCTCTTCCTCTCGAATTTCTATGAATAAAAACAAGCCAATTTCAAAGCAAGTTAAAAGAAACCTTGAGATACTGCTCCTCTACCACCGAATAAGACCCTGTTGGTCCTCAGCCACACCTAAGTTTCAAAATGAAAACTATGGAGTAAAACATCTATGGTGTAAATACTAGGTCAGTGTGATGTAGAGGCAATTCCACCAGTAAAGCTGGTCCATAAGCCTAAGGTTTGAAATGTCTAAGTCACAGGAATGATTCAGGCAGAGAGCAGTCGCTACATATGAGGACAATGGTCATCTCCCATTTTCTGATTCTTCCTGTAAGTTGTTTAGGTTTTAAAGGAGTGAAGATATTGTCCAACTGGCAATCTTGTTTTCTTACCTAGTAGCTGTTTATTTTTTGCCTAAGGAATTACAGGAAAGACTATGGCACTGGAGAGTTAAAAAGGACCTGAGATTTCCTAGAGAGCCTGTTGTATGTTGGCAACGTGATAGAAGCTTCCACACCAAAAAGCTGTATGGATGATTGGAAGAAGATGGGTGAAATACAATTTCTATAGGCAGAATGATTTTTCCTCAATCTGCAAAACCAGTATTAACAGAATAACCATGGAGGTCCTCCATGGCACAGGAAGCAAAACAATAAAATGGTGACATATTTCTAAATATAAAAGTCATTTTTCTGAGAGGCGATGCACTACTGTAAAGGTACTACCATTGTGCTGGGAGCTATCATCAGAGCTAGTGTGCAAGTCAAATAAAAACACAGAACTCAATGCTCTTTTCAAATTTACATACACCGGTCAGAGATGAAGGACGGGTGGAATCCCAGAAAGGAGATCATAAAAACTACAGAATCTGAGAGCCAGAAGGGACCCTGAGCAGCCATCCTGCCATCAGATGCTGGCAAACATCCTTTCAGAGTCCATTTGTTCCACTCTAGTGCAAACAAACTCACTATTTAACTAGGCAGCCCAGTCCACTGCTGGACACCTCGGTGTGCAGTCACTTCCTCTAGATGCTTCTTAGCTTAACAGCTCTCATAAATAACCCTGAACATAACATTCCTGAAGGCTGAGTCAGTGAAACTAAAACAGGGACCTTGATCTGAACACCATATTTCTATTCTTCCTGGAACTACATGAACTGTATTCACTCAGTTCCTTGTGAGGTGATGGTCCATTAACAGTGCATATATTTTTATTTAAATCAAGTTTAAATGTACCCATGTATTCATCTTTAAAATCTACAATGCCTTTAAATATGTCCTTCTTCAATTTCATCTGTCTTAAGACCCACCATTGCAACTTTTTTTTTTTTTTTGAGACAGAGTCTCACCCTATCGCCTTCAGTAGAGTGCTGTGGCGTCAACAGCTCACAGCAACCTCAAACTCTTGGGTGCAAGAGAGTAAGCCTCAGCCTCCCAAGTAGCTGGGACTACAGGCACCTACCACAATGCCCAGCTATTCTCTTTTGCTATTGTTGTTGTAGTTACTGTTTAGCTGGCCTGGACTGGGTTTGAACCTGCCAGCCTGGGTGTGTGTGGCCGGTGCCCTATCCACTGAGCTACCGGCACTGCCACTGCAACATCTTTTTGAATGCCCAGTCTGTGCTAATTATTCCTCCTAGTTTTGTGGCACTAATATATTGCAAATGTTTATGCCTGCTCTAAATTTACAGATCAGGTTAGGCCCAGCCACTGACAACCTTGAGCCTCAATATCCATCATTTAAAAAAAATAAATAAAAAAGTTAAGAGTTTCAGATAGGACCAGAATCCAGCCATCCTGACTCCAGCTCACCACTCAGGTCACACAACAACCAACCTCTTGTGCATATGCAACCACAGAGCAGGAGGAGGCAAAAGTGGAGTTCTCCGCACTCATTTGATATGGTCCTCTGAGACAGCCTCATGGCAGGCCAGGAAATCACGGGCAGGATGAGAACATACACAGTGGCTTTGAAACAAAATTGTTCCTAACTATGTGATTTGGGGAAAGTCACAATTTTCCCAGTCTCAGTTTCCTCATATGTGACATGAGGTTATGGGTACAAATCTGTAAGATGCCTTTGAACACAAAGCCTGTATATTAGGACCTATGACATGAGGAATCCTAGATCTACTGTGCTCCAGAAGCAAAGCTGTGTGACGGATCAGACCCAGAGAATCCAAAGTCCTTCTACCATATGAACAGATGAAATCTTTAAACTCACTTTGAACACTCTGGGAAAATGCTTTGACCCAGGCATACATTTTAATAAATTTAATATATGTAAGCACTTCATTCATCTTCTGGACACGGTGATCTGTGGCGGCTACACATTTTCTCCTGAAATATGCAGTGAGTCGTGATGTAAACATCTGAAAAGAAAAACGATACCACATCAAATCGAAGCTCATTCAAACCTGAGAACTACCTAATCTGCTTAAGATCATTCTAAATACAATGAGCATATAATGTTGTTTGGACAGGCCAGATTTCAGGTAGTTGTACTGGTTTTAATAAAAGTGATCTATTAAATTATAATCTAATACTAATTCTTATTTTCTTAAGGCAGTGAAGTTCTCACAGTGATCACAGATAAGGGGAGGCAGGAGTGCCATATCAGGTAGCACCAACTTGAAACCAAGTGATTCAAATGCTGCTGTGTTACACAGGGGAGGGCTCACCTGCTGTTGTTCTCCTTTGCTCACACTCTTTTTCTCCTAATAGTTTTTTTTGTTTGTTTGTTTTTGAGACTGGGTCTTGCTGTGTTACCCAGGCTAGTCTTGAAGTCTCAAGTTCAAGCTATCCTCCCACCTTAGCCTCCCAAGTAGCTGAGACCACAGGTGTGCATGACGGTGCCTGGCTAGACTCTTTTTAAAAATGTCATTAGGAGCCTCTGCCTTTATGCAGATGACACTTTAGTTCCTCTCAAGTCACATTTCTGTCTATATGGACCGAGCACTGTCCAACTCCAGATTTTTCCAAACCAGGTTAAATGCTTTTGAGAAAATTTCCAACCAGAGATGTGATACCCCTGTGATCTACTATAACCCAGTGGAAGTAACTCATCTCCTAAGGAGAAACTGCCATGACACAGTTCGGAGGCTTACTTACTCACCATTGATGGATAAAAGAGGATAAAAACAGCTGATCCCAGGAAGCCTGTTGGTCCCAGAATAATTACATTATAAATCATGCCTAAAATGGCAACGATGGGTCCTCCAGCCAATAAGCTGCCAACAGCGGCTGCCTCAAACATCCTCTGCCCATCATTGGAGCAAATGTTGATGAGCTACGAGATACAAAGAGTAGTGAGGGCACCGGGCCAGGGCACAGGTCACTTGTCTCAGGAGGAAGATAAGGACACAGCAAGGGCCCAGTGGAAAGCAGCAGGTCATGCTGGGAAGCAAATACTCCTCACTCACCTCACCCAGGGACTTTTCTTTAATGTTCTTTAACTTAAGGATCTTCTTAAATGCCATAGTTAGGATGGCCCCCCGCAAACGGACACCAGTTCGGTAATTCAATGCCCACGTCAGTGCAAGCGACCAAGACCGCACGATTTCTGTCAGGAGGAGGCCCAGGACTAACAGCAAGCTGTACTGCAGGTTAGACTCTGTTGCCTGGGTATACTCCAAGAGGTGCTTCACCATGAAGGCCTACAGGGAGAAACATACGCCACTGTCAATACCCCCACGGCACCCACACACAATGCCACGGTATTATGTTAAGTTAGAAAGAGTAGGCGGCTCCACTGCACGGCGGTCAGTGTGCGCAAAGGAAAACCTTCTCGCAGGACCAGACGCTACTGCAGCCTGCCTGCGGTGATGGATTCAGGGCTTTCTGCAGGAGGTGAGTCTGATTTGAGACTTTCTTTGTAAGGATGCTATCAAAACCATTACTCTTTCTAATGTAACATAAAACTGTCCATGAGCTGAAATTAATTCTAAACACATGGTCATTCAAAAGTATATATGTGACCTTATTCCAGTAACTCCACGCATGGATACATTTCTTTAAATGAAATTAAGACCTTTTGGGGGATTGTTTCAAACGTGCTTATTTGATAAAAAGGAACAGTGTACCTACAGTTGTACTGGGGAAGAGTGAGAAGTGCATTTGCAAAACATTCCTGAAAATAAACATCAGCAGTTTAATAGTACAGAAGAAAGCAAACAAAGCAGACTATCAAAACTTCAGAGACCCTCCCACGGCCCCCCACTCCCGACTCCCTCCCAAAAACGAAAACGTGTTACCTCAGGTAGCATATGTCTAACACCACCTGCAGAGGGAAGGCAGCCAGCCCCCAAGAACCACGAGTGCCACCTCCAGCTCTGAGGTCCTGCAACGCCGGAGCACACACTCACACAAGGCACATTCAGCAACAGTATTAAATACCAGAAGTGGGAAGTAACGCACTTTTATTGAAAATGAAAAAAATATAAAAGTACCATCTTCAAAGAGCATCTCACAAACACTGTACAAAGGAGCATTGCAGTAACATACAATGGGAACATACAGAGTCGGGTTACACAGGGCTGGCCGTCTAACAGGTCATCTGGCCTCAGACTGTTGTTTTAACTACACACAGTGGAAATACACAATAGAACCAACATCTGTTTCCAGAGTCCGAAGTAGTACACCAGGCTGACAGCACTCAGTCAGGGCTCCTGAGGTCGCAACGATTCTGCAAGGGAGTGGATTCTCTAGGAATAAAGACTTTGCTGCTAAGGAAAGAGAATTAAAAAACAAAACTAAACTAAAAATTCTCCCAAAAAGGTATTCTGCTCAAAATTGCTGGTGCTATTAGCGCACCAAGTTGAGAGAAATCACCTCTGCTTAGGACAGAATACAGGATTCTAGGCCTCAAGGAAAAACTGGTGGTACCCTTCTGAGTTTTTTCCAGTCCTTGAAGCTAAAATTGATCTTGACAAAAAATAAAATAAACTACAACAAAAGAGGGCCAAATCAATCCCCCACCCTAAAGGAAGAAAAAAAATTTACCTGAAACCCATCCACTCATCTATCCTGATTCCTTATAGCACAGGTTACTACGTGCCAGAGCTGCGTCACAGACAAAAGGGCAGGCCAAATGTGACTGTCCTGAGGGAACTAATCCTGAATTTCAAAACCCAGACCCTCCCTGGGTTACTTTGTGTTTCTCATTTTTTTTTTTTTTTTTTCTGAGAGTAAGTCAATACCAGATGTCCACTAGGTCCTAGGAGAGATCCCCACCAATCAGATTTATGTCAGTCCCGGCAAATAACCTGATCAAAATGGGAGATTTCAAATTCCACAACTACTATATTCCACCTTTCCCCTCCCTCAGCTTTTTAGGTTTAGATCCATTGCTTGGGTCAGCACTGCATACAGCTGGCTGTTGGTTTACTAGCAAGAAGATTGGCTTCTTTTCCAGTATGCAATCCAAAATGTGGAACTGAGTCAGAGGGTCAAAGCCCCTTTTCCTCACGTGAAGCAACTCAGTGAGATGGCGGTGCAGTGAAGCATGTTCCCACACACCTTGGCACTGATGGAGCAGTCTCCAAAGGAAGCTGAAGGGACAGCAGGTTGTTGCTTTGGGCTCCTTCCTTCCCATACCTTTAGAGTGCCGTTTTTTCAGCACTGGGTAATAGCATTAGCACCCCCCAGAGGGGAGGAGCAGGGAAGGTAAAAGGCAGTAATGAACGTTTACACTATGCAAAACTTTCAAAGGGGGGAAAAAGAGGAAAGAGCAGATTAAAGATTTTCCAACACATAGGTTTTTTTTAAAAAAGCAATGACATTTCAAACCATTTTGTATGGGATAAAGAAAAAAAGTTTTTATGAAAAAATCCAACCAAAATTTAGTTTTTAAAAAGTTACAAATTTATCATTTAAATTTAAACAAAGTGGAAGAAAACTCAAGACTGTCAGCATAGCTGTCTGGCTGTGGAAAGCATTCCCAGTGAATAAACTTTACCTTACCTGAACTCTTGGCGAGAGATTCTGCCCAGCTTGACTCTCTCATTCTGACCGCAGAATACAGCCATCCTGAAAATTCTAAAGAACAGCTTCTGTCACTGGTTCCACTACAGAGAGACTCCCCCCAAATCCAGATTCTGACAGCACCAAGCAAGCTGCAGCTGGAGAGAGGCTGGAAGGGTGGGAACTTACCTCTCTAAGGGTTTTACACTGTCCTTTCCCCAAAAGGCCCTGGAGCAGAGTTAGCATCCGTCAAAAGAGATAGCACTTAGCACTGCGGGAGGCAGCCTTCTCCTGCAGGTCTACAGGGACGGATGCGAATTCTTTACACACAGATCACAGGTCAGGCCTGGTCTTTTGTTTTATTTTATTTATTTTATTATTATTATTATTATTTGCAGTTTTTGGCCAGGGTTGGGTTTGAACTCGCCACCTCCGATATATGGGGCCGGCACCCTACTCCTTTGAGCCACAGGAGCCGCCCTATTTTATTTTATTTTTAGAGACAGAGTCTCACTTTGTCGCCCTCAGTAGAGTGCCGTGGTCTTTTAAAACTGTCTTAATCCAGGCAGGCCCCAAACCATCTCTGTAAGTTTAACAATTTGGCTACTGTCTTCCTTCCATGGTCAGGACCATGGCTCTTACAGATTCTGGAACTCCATTAATGTTAGGGGTGACCCTAGGGTACCCTGCACACAGTGCTGGTCCACTGGCATCACCAAAACCTTGGATCACTCTGTTGCATAAATATCTGGCATCAGCTGGCTAGCAGTTAAAAAACAAAAGCAAAAACACAACAACTTTGATTGTGTTTCCCTCATTCTGTGAGTGGCTACCAAGGTTCAGTGAGACCTGGGCAGGCAGGACGGGGGAGGAGGGGTACAAGAAACAAAGATGCTACATTTGGGGAGCTCACATGTGGGGAGTCTGTTCTTAAGTAGATTTCTATAAGAACAGGTTAAGCTAGTTTGAAAGTTGTGCCAGATTAGAAATTTTGCAAAATCTAAAATGGATGTTCCTCCAAAGGATTTAGGTCCACAGATGAGAGGTTTGCTCATTGCTAGTACTAATCTCAAAACCTTCCTGGCTCTCCACTCTCCAATTAGAAGAGCTGCAATAGAACTGGAGCTCCAAAAAAGAAGTTTGCACTGTTCACACATTCCAATCTTTATTGTTCACACTCTGAAATCTTTTTATCCATGAAAGAGGAGGGATAAGTCTGCTGCTTTCTCAGTCCTAAACACTGACCTGAGGTATTCTTCCCCAAAAGGGCAGAGAAGAAAAAGCAAGCTGCTGTTCTCCTGTTAAAGGAAGGCTCTCGGCTTTCCCTGGCATCTAGAAGAGTTTACTGAAAATTAGTAGCCCAGGACACTGCACCAAAAATGAGAAGTTAAGGAATATACGGATGCTCAAGGGAGTGACTAGAAAGCCACAAGCTACACGTGCACAGGTAACGTTTTTCAAAAAAAAAAAAATTAAAATCCCACAAGTCCATGGAATATTTTTTTCTTTTTTAAAAAAGGGGAACCAATGACGTTCTTGTAGGGACCAAGTGGAAGTGAGAAAACCCATTATTGCTTTAGAAAGAAAGCCTGCGTATGGCGCTACCCGTATAACAATTCTAGGAATGATCAGAGCAGCCACCAACCCTGTAGTGAAACAATGACAGAAGCTCTTCTTGGGGGAAGCTGGCTCTAGGAAAGTGTTTGCCAATTTAGTCAATAATATAACATTTCGATTGTGTGGTCCTTCTTATTTATATAAAAGTATGTTAGTTGGTCAATTAATATGGGAACTCAATACCAGAAAAGTAGTGTTTTCTGCTTCAGAAAAGAGATTTAACACTTTAACAAGAAACATCAAATATTAAAGAAAATCAAAAATAATAAAAATGTAAATTAGTTTTACCTAATCACCATGCATCATGATTGTGTACTTACCAAAACCATGAACCTCCAGCTTACCCACACACGGAAAATGCACAGTATAAGCAGTACTACTGATCCGATGCCTCAAGGCAAATATGTAAAGAATAGATTTAATCAAAGTCTCAAGTGCAAGGCAGCACAGCAGGTGTAAGGAACAGGTGCCCCGAAAACAGTGTGAACATCAAAGGCTTTCTCACCTACTCTGCTTTAGTATGGACTGAGAAACGCCACAGCTGCCACCCCAATATGCCACACCGTTCACACCATAAACCAGACTTAAAGTGGACTCCAGGTCAGACTCTCAAAAACCTCGACAGTTCTCTCGTTTTCTCAGGACTCACTGGCCACAGACCACCAAACACGTGACACTCTGCCTCCAGGCATCCGGCGTGTCATTGGTGCTGGCTCACCAGCCACACCACACAATGTTCTCTCACCCACTCACAGCACCGCAAGAAATGTTTTCCTGGACCAAAGACACACAACCAAGAAGCACAATCCCGTGTGGCACTGGAATCAGCTCAGTTTCTCCCCCGCCCCAGGAAAGCAAGCCAGTTCCATTTCTTCTCTGGCAACAGTGTCCCCTCATCCTTCCAGCTGCTGACAAGCCACCGTTTGCTCCCAAATCCGTTGACCCCTTTCAACAGACCTGGAGGCATCTCTAAGTCTACCTAGCCCAAAGCTGAGCACAACCCCTGCAATAGAATAAGAGTGTTAGAGCTGGCCGTGGCCGGGCCCCTGGAGACTGTCAGGAAGGATAGTTAGACTTACTGGTCCGCTGAAGCCAGCCAGCTGCGTGATCATCAGGCACACGATGGACAGGACGAGCCTGGTGCGGCAGAAGATCCACACAACCCTTCGCAGGGAAGCGGCGTCTGGCCCCACTTCATTCAGCTCTTCTTGCCACAGTCTCTCTAGTCTTAACAAGTGACACGTCCTTGTTACACTCTCCCCGGGAGAAAGGACACACCTAGCTTCCTCCTGCCATCACTCTTTGTCTCCAGGCTTTCTCACCACTCACATAAGTCTTTCCTTTAAAACTGTGTACAGTCTTCACCTTCAGGAAAAAATACCCTTCTGAGGTAACTACTGATTTACCCTAGATAGGGAGCCCCGCAGGATGCAGAAAATGACGAGACAAAGCCTTTCCTTCCACCCAGAAAAGTTACCAATGAGTAAAATTTGTAAGAACTCCCTTTCTTAAGGGTCCCCAACTCTTTCTGAAGGTTCCTGTGGTAAAGTGTAAAGTTGTGAACTAGATTTTAATCATGACAATCAGCTACCACAAAAATGTACTCTGTCACAAGGCAGCGATATAATCTCCCTGCAGACTCAGGAAAAGAAGCGGGGCTGAGAGAGAGAGAGAAAGCCCGTGGTTAAAACAGAATCAAAGGTGAAATAGGAGTAAAGCAAAAGAGCAAAGAGAAAGAGTCATCCCAGGCCACCCTCCCTCCACAGGACAGCACGGCTCTCCTGGGCTGTGCCGCGGACTTCAACTCCTAGCTCAGGCCCTACCCACCCAGCACCGCGGGACAAGGGTGGACCAGAGACGCCTACCTTCTGCAGTTCACATCAGAGGACTCGTGCTTGGACAAAGACCACACGTCCTCCATTAAGAGCTCCCCCTTCTTGTGGGCCTTGCGGGCCAGAGGAGAAAGCCATGAAAATGTCGTGCAGGAGAAGAGCCCAGCATTGTCCACTGGGTGCTGGTGTCTAAGAAGAGAAAATCAAAATCACAAAACTGTCAACACATACCAGGGGGCCAACCTATATTTAAAAGACTGTATAGGCTGGGTGCAGTGGCTCAGGCCTATAATCTCAGTGCTTTGGGAAGCCAAGGTGGGAAGACTGCTTGAGGCCAAGTGTTCAAGACCAGCCTGAGCAAGAGTGAGACCCCACCTCTATTAACAATAAGAAAATTAGCTAGGTACGGTAGTGGGATCTACAGTCCCAAAACTCAGGAGGCTGAGGCAGAAGGATCACTTGAAGCCAAGAGTGTGAGGTTGCTGTGAGCTATGATGCCACTGCACTCTAGCCCAGGCAACATAGCGAGATTCTAGCTCCACAAAAAACAGAAAAATTAGCAGGGTGTGGCAGCATGCGCCTATAGTACTAGCTCCTCAGAGAGCAAGATCACTGGAGCCCAGGAATTCTATACTCCAGCCTTGGCAACAGAAGGAGACTCCATCTCAAAAAACAAAACGAAATGAAAACAAAACAAAAAGCCCTATCTGGCAAACAGAGGTCTTCCCCGCTGCTCTAGTCTTAGTCTGAGTTCTCAAACATTCTTTTGCTGCTTCACTGACATGCCATTTGAGCAGCAGGGCCTCTTACTTGGAAGTGGTCCGGATAGGCTTCAGGACATTCAAGCCATGGTGGTATTTTCCCTTGGGATGGTCCTCATCCAGGATTCGAAGCTGAGAATGCGTAGAGACGTCCAAAGAGAGGCCCTCCGCGCGGGCTGCTGTTTCCAAAGCATCTTGGCATTCCACCTGTTCACAGACAGGGAGAGAGAAAGGAGCACAGTTAACATATGGGTGAGAGGCAAATCTAACTGATGTAACAGCCAACCAGCTTCGTGTCCACTGAGTAATCCCACGGGTCAGGAGGTTAAACAATAACTTTGTACAATATGAACCCATTAAAGAACATTCAGCTAGATATTTAAAAATTTTTTAACAAATTTTTCTTTGTTGAGCACCTTTAGGTTTACTGAAAAACTGAACAGAGAACATAGAGCATTCCCATATAATGGGTTCAGGTCAGACAATTAAGTTCACAAACTCATCCTAAAGGAAGTGCTACGGACCTCAGGGCTGAGTATCACTGTGCTCACCAGATGGCCAAGCGCAGACTCTGTAGTGACTGTAGTGAGATTCAGCAATGAGGGATGTTAGCACTTTTTTAACTTAACTGTCAGATCTTGTGCCCATCCTTTCCCCATCCGTTTTGCTTATTAACATCTTCCATTAGTGTGGTGCATGGGTTGCAACGGACGTGCCAGTGCTGACTCATTATTAACTGAAGTCCACAGGTCATATTAGGGCTCACTCTTTGTGTTGTGCGTTGTAAAATGTACATTTTTAATCACCAAATGTTTTCTCTTGTTTCTCAAAATGGACTGAGAATCAATTACTTCACTTTTTTTTTGAGACTGAGTCTCACTATGTCACCCTTGGTAGAGTGCTGTGGCGTCACAGCTCACAGAAACCTCCAACTCTTAGGCTTAAACAATTTTCTTGCCTCAGTCTCCCAAATAGCTGGGACTACAGGTGCCCACCACAACACTCAGCTATCTTGTTGTTGTTGTTGCAGTTGTCATTGTTGTCTACCTGGTCTAGGTTGGGTTCAAACCCGCCAGCCTCAGTGCATGTGGCCGGTGCCATAACCACTGTGTTATGGGTGCCGAGCCCAATTACTTCACTTCTAACTGTAAGTTCTACTGCTTATTTACTATAACAAAAGTTTCACAATTGGCCCCAATTAAATGGCTCTCTGGCGCAGTAATAGTCTCCTGTCTCTCATAAGCATGGAGAACAGAAGGTGGGTCCTCACTCGCTGCACAGCTAAAGAGCCGGGCTCTGCCTTCCCTGTAACAGTAACATGAGGCAGAAGAAATATAGTTACATATTATTTACTATGAAGCTTTTAAATGTTAATTAATTAGGTTAACAAAAAGTACATGTAATTCAGGTCTGACTGTAATGGGGGGGCTGAATATATCCATCCCATTTACTCTAAAAATCGCTCTAAAAATAACTCTGAAGGTAACACAAAGTTTATGCTTTCCTGTTGTAGAAGGAAAAGCTTCATTTTCCTCAATTTCCTTACCTTCCTTTTCTCTCTGAGCAGGGAAACTCAGATTATCACAAACATTTCCAACAATTATTGTGAAATACTAACAATGGACAGACCCCCCACACACACATTGAGAAATAGTTGGTACAGCATCAACACACCACACCTTACAAAAAGCAGAGTCTATTTTTATACATCACCTCTTTCCCACAAAGAACAGAGGCCACTCAAATATCAGCAGAACTGAAAGGGTGGCTTTTGTGAACAGGGCTCACTGGATGCATATGCAGATCAAATACAACAGCTTTAGTTCACAGCACAGTTAGGCATCTTCAGATAAGAAACCTACTTGGTATCAGGCAAGTTTACAGCCCTGGAAAGCACAATTGTTTCCTTTTGCGAAAAGGCAAACCAGATTTCAAGAGACTAAGAGCGCAGAGACATGCACTGAGGACTGCTGGGCAAAGGTTTTTTCTTACTTGCAAGCTGCATGTGATCACAAAGGGAAAAACAAAGAGCAAAAAACTATTAGGTTAAGAAAGAAGAAAGATACGCTAAAAATATAAGCACAGAAAAAATATATAAGCACATATACTACAAGTGAGTAGTGGAACGTCGGAATCTGTACAAAATAGGTACAGAATGATATAAGGACTTTGTTTGGATACCCTTATTTGGATATGTATCCAAAGCTTCAGAAGAAGATGATAGATTTTAAAAATACTTCAGGTACACACTGCATTTTTGCCAAAACGGATTATATGCTGGGCCATAAAGCAAACTACAATAAATCTCAAAAGACCTATATCATACAGTGTATAGACTCTGACCACTTTGGAACTTTTTTTTTTTTTGCAGTTTTTGGCCGGGGCTGGGTCTGAACCCACCACCTCTGGCATGTGGGACCAGCGTCCTACCCTTTTGAGCCACAGGTGCTGCCCACTTTGGAATTTTTAATTAGCACTCAGTAATGAGAAAATCCCCAAATGTTCAGAAGTTAAGCAATACAATTCCAAATAATATAAATTTAAAAAGACATTAAAATGAGAACTAAAAAATGTTTCGAACAGTAAGAAACTGAAAATCATCAAAATTTCTGGGGTGCAACTAAAGCAGAGCATAGAGTGAAATTCTGTTGATGTTATTGAGACAGATTCACCCTAACCATCGCCTCAGCCCAGCTCACAGCAACTTCAAACTCCTAGGCTCCAGTGATTCTTCTTGCCACAGCCTCCTGAGTAGCTAGAACTATACACACCTACCACAATGCCCAGCTAATTTTTCTATTTTTAGTAAAGAGGTTTCACTCTTGAACTCCCGAGGTTAAGTGATCCACTGACCTCCAGCCTCCCAGAGTGCTAGGATTACAGGCATAAGCCATCATGCCTGGCCATAGAAAGAAATTTTGATTGCTTTAAAAGCATATATTAGTTTAAAAAAAAAAAAAGACAGAAAAATCAATGCTTTAAGCTAGGGGTAAACAAACATTTTTCTCCAAAGGGCCAGACTTTAAGTATTTTTTATAGGCCAAGAGACAAAAATCAAGGACATTTTATAGGTACTTCTATTCCAAGAGAAAATAAATTTCCACAAAAGGTTTGCAAATAAAATTCAAATTGTAATAGAGTACAATTTTTTATAATCCAGGTCTACTAATAAAAAGAATGTAATTCTTTTATGGAGCAGTAACTTCTCACTTAACTGGGGTTTAACTGGGTTTCTCTTTCATCAAAATCAACTGCAAATCTTCATCTGTTAATGCTGACTTGTAATGAGATTTTGCAATTTCATCTTTGAAAATGTCTTCACAAAGATAGGTGTTACCAAATATAGAAATCAATGCATGCGTACCTGATTTTAATTGAGCATATTTATCTCTTGGAAGGCCTTACAGGATTTTATTATATTTTTCTCTTGTCATTTGCCTTTATCATGCCCTTACAATGCTGATTAATCACTGCCCATTGAAAATTGGGTGGAAGCTACCAAATGGCACAATTCAATGGATTTTTTTATTGTGGCAAAAAAAAATCTAACATAAAATTTGCTGGCTGGTGCAATGGCTTACTCCTGTAATCCCAGCCCTTTGGGCAGCCAAGGCCAGAAGTTTGACACCAATCTGAGCAACATTGTAAAAAAAATCAGCCAGGTGTGGTGGTGTGTTCATATGGTCCCAGCTATTCCAGAGGATGGGGCGGGAGAATTGTTTGAGCCAGAAATTTGAGAATCGATCATGCACTGCACTCTAACCTGGACAATGGAGCCAGATACTGTCTCAAAAAAAAAAAAAAAATTGCCATTTCAGCCACCATTAACAGAACAATGCAGGGGCATTAATTATACTCACAGTGTTATACAACCATTGCCACTACCTATTTCCCAAAACAAATGGACCCTAAAATATGGACATTTCCTTTGTACTTCATTGTGCTCTTAAAACACTGCTGGAATCATAATTTCTAAAACTCTATCCACTACACATCTGTAGTATGTATGAAGCAATGTATGAAGCAGCTTGATGTTATTTATAATTAAAACATTAGTTGTCATCAAAATTTACCACAGTACCATTTTACATTCTCATTAGCAAAGTCTGAGAGATCCAGCTTCTCCACATCCTTATCAGCACTTGGTACTAGGATTATTTTTTATTTTAACCATTCTAACAAACACAGTACAGCATCCCACCTTGGTTTTCACGTGTGCTGCCCTAATGGCAAACGATGTTTAACAGCTGTTGACATTGTCTTTAGGGAAATATCTGTTCAAGTCTATTGCTCGCTTTCTTTCTTTTTCTTTTCCTTCTTTTTTTTTTTTTTTTTTGAGACAGAGTCTCATTCTGTTGTCGTGGTGGAGTGCTGTGGTGTCAGCTTAGTTCACAACAACCTCAAACTCTTGGACTTAAGTGATCCTCCTGCCTCAGTCCTACCCCCACCCCCGAGTAGCTGGGACTATAGGCACCTACCACAATGCCTGCCTAGTTTTTCAGTTTTTAAGTAGAGATTGGGGGGGAGGGGTTGTCTCCATCTGCTCAGGCTGTTCTCCAGAGCTCAAGCAATGCACCCACCTCAGTCTCCCGAGTATTAGGATCACAAGCATGAGCTACCACGCCCAGCCCTACTGCCCATCTTCTTCTTCTTCTTCTTTTTATTGCTCATCTTCTAAGTATACTGTTTTCTTGGTGTTGAGTTTAGAAAGCTTTTATACATTCTGGACTCCAGTCAGATACGGATTTACAAATACTTTCTCCCCTTTTCTGGAATATTTTTATCCTCTTAGTAGGTCCATTCACAAAGCAAAATTTGGGCCAGAACTAGTGGCTTATGCCTATAATCATAGCACTCTGGGAGGCCAAGACCAGCAGATCATTTGAGCTCAGGAGTTTGAGACCAACCTGAACAAGTCCTTTGTCTCTATTAAAAATAGAAAAATTAGGCAGGTGTAGTGGCATGTGTCTATTCTCAGCTACTCAGGGAGGGTGAGGTAAGAGGTTCTCTTGAGCCCAGGAGTTTGAGGTTCCTGTGAGCTACAATGACCAGATGACACCACTGCACTCTAGTCTGGGTGACAAGACTGTCTCCTACAAAAAAAGCAACGTTTGTAATTTTGATGAAGTCTAAATGACTGACCTTTTCCTTTTCTAGATTGTGCTTTTACTGCCATGTCTAAGAAATCTTTTAACCCTAGGTCATGA